TGATGATGATGATGATGATGATGATGATGATGATGATGATGATGATGTCGTCATCATGAATTACCGTTAAACGAATATGCAAAGTTCAAACAAAGTTCCCATCTACCGACCACAATGATTGAAACTGTAACATACTGTGTCGGGTATCACAAATGGAAGGATTGCACAGAACCGAGCGACAGGAATACGACTAACTCTGACCTGTTTGCCCATGAGCGCCAGTGCCATATAGATCCTGGCGCAGCCTTTCACAGAGCCTCGTTCGCTAGGGCGAGATTTCACAGGAGTGTCAACGAGGGTTCTTTTGGCTCCCTCATCTGACCGGGGACACCAAACGCTGGGAAGTCAAGCTTCGCTTCTACTCTACAGCTTCAAACATGTCATGAACGCAGTGCTATCAATTGCTTTCGTATAGAAGTCAAGAGATCAGCTAACATATCTGCAAAAAGCTACTCTGGGACTCTATGTCCGCAACGGGGTAGAGCCACAGTGCCACAGCGCTGCTGAAGGGCACGTTGAAACAACAGGATGGCCTCGTAGCTCGTGGGGCGTGTCCCAATGCGAAAGGCTTCAAGATCTATAACTCTTGATATTGTACAAGTGAGCACGATCATAGATCTTAAAGGCTTTAAGGCTTTCATGATCTATACCTTTTGAGCACGATCATTTGGCACGTCTCACTTCAAGACAGCCCTTGACCTGTCGCAAGGAGGTTGAGAGTGGCCAATCAAGTTCATGTGAAACTAGAATAGTTAGAGTTAGCATAAACGATGCTGAGGTATGTTGAGTTGATGGTCTTCATAGGGCTCTGATTCAACAAATGTGTGAAATGTTCGTCTAGACTGGGAAGTTCGCTCCGGTCAGATCTGGTCCACGCCGGTCGACCGTGACTGGTTGGGTGACTCCGTTCGGCCTCCTGCGAATCGGCGCACAGCAGTTTGCAGTAGCCCAGTCGCACCAAGGCCAAGGCCTTGGCGAAGACGAGAAAAGAAGTGACTGCCGTCTTTCGTTTTCGTGTCCTGCGGTTGTTTATGATTGTTTTGCTAAAAATAACGGCCCTAATAACGGCATCTCTCTGTCTCTCTCTCAGTGGGCTTCACTTTACAACTACATCCCAGCAAATTCCCAAGTCTCATCATTGAATCTCAATGCCCCATCCCCAAACGCCCTCTTCATGCATCTTCTCGGACATCCTTTGACACAAAAGGCGAGCTTTGACACAAAAGGTCGATCAAGGCAAAGACCTGGGAATGGGTGACTGCAAGGACCTTTTCGTGCACTCGGGTTCACTGCGCAGGTCACTCGGGTTCATCTCAGCTGCCCACATGGTTCTTGACGATTGCAAGAGCTCGTCTGAAGGACGTTTCTGCCTGGCGGTTCAATCGCATAAAGGCACTAGTCAAATCCAGCATGCACTTTCTATCACGAATCAAAGGCGTAGATAGCCTCTTAGAGAAGAAGAATTCCTTGAACGATCTCAGCACTGACCGGCAAAGCAACTTGAGTCCTCTTCCAGCTTTTTCAGCTGCATGTGGATGACCCCCTGAGTGATCAACGAAGAAACCTTAGTAGGCTTATGGCTCATGAATCGGACATATTGCATCATAGCCTTCTGAGACAAACCAGCAAATCCTGCGACCGTCGTGTGACGTCCGGCTGTTAGTTTTGGTACAATCAATGGATATTCAATGTCGGAAGACTAGGGCGCGATTGAATATTAGATGATATTGGTATCACGGCATAACACTCTCTTACCCACTCTACTGAGTGTTTGAACACACCCACTATACTTGCCATGTCGCTAGAATTTGGAGTCGGACAGTCGAGAGCGGACTGTATCGGCCTATGGGAGGCTTGCTTATTCACTGCTAAGCTATGCTAAGCTTCACACGTGTGACGGGTCTTGCTTCAGAGCCATTGCAAGCCTGTTAGTGAACACAGCCTTTGGAGCCCTAGAGCTATAAGCCAGATAAACTTGAAACACTTGAAGAAGTTGCTCAGTCTTATTGCAATGTGTTGCTGAATGATTTGTTTAGTCTATTTAGCTGATTGTACTTATTTAATCTTACGTATATGTTTATTATACGTACATCAGAAACTTGGACCAGCAAGATCTCTGCACAAAACGTTTCCAGCAGGCGACTCTGCTGAGGCGTTGGTGTACTCACCTTTCCGCTCGTACGCCTGCACTTCCAAATCACGCAGGATTTGCATGAGTTGGTCAATTTGCATCTAATTAGGAGGCTTCACAGAATTAAAAGAGATGGTACTATGATGGTACCGTCAGCAGTATAGTGACAAACACATACTTAGAACCTACTCCAATAGAGAATCAACAACATACTCAGAATCTTGTGGCCTTTGTGTTTGAGGCAATGCAGCTGTCCAGCCGTGTCCCTACCCGTTTCACTGTCATGAAGTGAAGGCCGCCTGCGCGAGCCAATCGTGGATCTCAACCTTCAAGTTGTCGCTGTCGACTCCCAGGTGCTGGAAAGCCTGGGTCGTCTCACGGCGTCGGGTCCGGCGTCGGGCTGTCGGGTAGACCGCACCGGTCGGGCATCTTATTGGATCTGTTTTTTCGACCCAGGCCTTTTTCAAGGTGGTAATGGAAGCGTCAAAGTCTCCCATGCGGTTCTTGACCAAGGCCAAGATGAAGAGGAAGTGCGGATGGTTCCTCCGTCATTGGTATTACTCTTAAAGGGGACGAAGAGAGTGAAATCAAACCAATGTGCAATAGGTTGTCTGAGACAAGGGAGCGGACGGCTTCAATGTCAGCCCACTGCGCGCTTGCTTTTCTGCCTGCCAGGGCTAAGACTATATTGCAGTCATGTGGCAATAACCTGTAAGGGCCGCATGTCAGCAACCAAACTTTCAATGCACCGGCACCTCTTCGTGTTCATCCAGCGAAATATGCGACTTGGCCAGGAGGTACCTCAAACACCCAAACAGGGATTCTGGAAAGCTCAGGTGAATTCCGTCATACGCTGCGGGCACAAAGCCCCCGTCTTGTAGTCCTCTCCACAATTGCTCGCGACTAGCCTGGCAGATAGGCTGCTGTGGCAAGACTACAAAATCTGAAGATTCATCAGGTTCCTTTTCTCTTTCTGTTTTGACCTAGCCTTTCTTCGGACAAAATCATGTGTCTAGATGTGTCTAGCCTAAGGCTTAGGGGCAATATAGCCTCGACTGGGTCGGCCCCCAGTTGTGCAGCAATGCAGGTTTTGTGGCTAAGGTAAAGGGCATCGGTAGATAGGTCGGCCCCATCGGTGATGCAGGCTGCAGGTGTCATGCAGGTTTCATGCTCCCATGTCTACCCTGTGACCACTTCAGTCTTCGCACATGTTGTCATGTTGGATGCTCATACTGCCTATGAGTTGAAACAAAACCGCCATGTCACCTGGACAGGTAGGCTTGGCATTCTGCATGTCGATGTTGCCGGTAAAGGATGTCTCCTTAGAGGCGATGGCTTGATGTGGCTTGACATTGAGCTCTGCTGGCTAAGCTGAAGGCCAAGGTAGTACAATGGACTTTCAGCAGAAGCGTTCACCTGAAGCGTGCTTGGTCTCTTCTTGGTTTGTTTTGCGATGCTTGACAAACTGGTTCAAACACAATGATATATAGATCTTTCTGCTGGAGTCTTCCACGTGTTGTGGGATGGAACGTCTTCCAATTCCCCTGCGGCCCTATGATATCCATCACTTTGGTGTTCTTCAAGCTGTGGCTGTGGCACAGATGTGTCCACCGTCTTGCTGCAAAAATGCTTTCAACCGATTTTGGACACGTTCTCTTCCACCCGAATGAGAGGATTTTCGTGCACATCCCAATAGACAGCATTGGCAGGCTCGTTCGATCCACCAAGAGATGCCTTCAGGCACTGCTGGTAGAGCTGAACAGCCTGGCTCCACAGAACAGCCGTGGTCAGTTTCAGCGTCACGACAAACGTCATGAAGAAGTGTCTGCAGAAACATATCTATACATTTATCTGAATTTTGGAAGGCCATTCCACTTACCTTGTTGATCCTTTTTGGCTAGATGTGTCTAAAATAATAGGATCTGGCCAATCGTCAAGTGCCTCAGGCTCACTGTCAGAATTCCACAATGACAAAATCTCACAATTTCACAATGACAATAATATCTCACAAATCTGTGCTAGCCATCCACTGGATCCACATACATCCAAAAAGCATCTTCGCACCTGATCCAACTTGTTGCTCTTTCTGTTGCAGTAAGCTGCTCCCTCCAATGCCTCACTGTTCGGAAACTCTGTGGCCTTGCCGCCCCTTGTGACCCTCGGGCCTTACTTAAACTTAGACTGCAGGTGGCAGTCACCAAATGATTCAGGTGTCCCTGGAGTCCAAAGTAAATCAATCAAATTGAGTCCAAATTGATGATGCAGCAAATGCCAATGAGGCCTATAAGTTCCAAATGATTCCATGTCTCCAGGCGTCCCAGCCTCTAGGTTGTTTGGAGAGAGCTGCAACACCTGAACATCAACAAACTGTCTCGTTACGATCTTGTGTTATCAGGGGGTGACCCATTGGAGACTCGATTACAGAACATTGGAGACTCGGTTGCACAACATGTTAATCTGGCAAGGAAAGCATGGAGTCTCAAGTCTCACCCGGAAAGCAGGCATCTTGGAACTGCTCAATTAATCCAGGCACCTGAAGGTCGTTAAGACCAAAGAAAGTGCATTCAATTTACAGGGTTTTCTTGATGCTGCGACTTGACTTCGGGGCAAGCCCTGGTGTTTACCCATGTTGTTATAGCGGCGGAACTTGGTCGTCTCGTGACAGGAGAACTGTGCCTGCTCAAAGAGCCGCAAAGCTTCTTCAAGGTTCCCATCACGAGATCCGTCCTCAAAGAAAACACTCTTAGAGTAGGCTCGAAACACTGCAAAAAGAGGTCTTGAGATTCAGGTCAAACAACTAATTCCGAGCTCGCTTTCGATGACTCAATGCTATTTACGATGGTCAATTCAAATTCAATCAAACAAGTGATGTCCTGTTTGAGACACTGAGCCAACTTCAAGAGTGCAGCTGCATTTTTGGGCTCCGCCTTGATGACCTGACAAATCTACTGCTTCCAAATGAAGGATTGGTGATGGCCACTTGAGCAATCCGGTGGCCCATGTATCTAGAAGCTGTATCCGAAGTATGCTCCAGGATGATCAAATGCACCTGATTCAGCAACTCCTTTGCTTCTCGCAATCGATCTTCCGACATTAGCAAGGAGGCATACCTGGAGAATCAGTCTGCAATTGCAAGTCCTAAACAAGAACCAGCGCGTTATTCTTTATGTATATAGTTCATTGACACTCATGAGCACATGAACCTTTGTTCATTTAGGGTACACGGTACGGTACATGTATATAAGGGCCAACAAAGTTAGGCCCGCCCAGATTGCAGCATGTGCAACAGCACTTGTTACTCAACAGCATGCAAGTAGGAAAACCTGTACACATGCACACATACTGTAGAACCTGGCAAAATCCTCTCCCTTTGTGACCTCAAAGGCGCAAGTGATCAACTGTTTGAAGAGGGGGTCTCCTTTAGTTGTTTGTGGCTCTGGCTATGGGCTCAACACCCTACATCAAACGTTTTTACACTGTGGGAGCATCTTAGACATGACAGCGAAGAAAGCCAACACGAAGAATGGACAAATCGGGGCGCATGCTCAAAGTCGCAGATTGGGCACATGATCTGAGATGCTGCTGTGGTGGCACCAAGCTGAACCTGAGGACATGATGACATGAAAATCCTTCACCTGCTCAACCGACACGATCGTATGGCGATTGAATGCTTTGAACAAATGTAAACGTAAACTTGATTAAACCTCTGTATAAATTGCAAGCAAGTTAAGTGGCATCACGCTTGGGATTTGGCCTCGACTGAGGACTGTTTGATTCTGAGGGATCCCCCAAAGTCAGGTTAAGTGTAGTCACCCCTACTACCTAGTAGCTATTTGTTCCTAGTAGCAAGGCCAGGAGCCCCTAGTAGCGTCCTTGCTCCTAGTAGCGATGCCCTTTGTTCCTAGTAGTTATTTGTTCCTAGGAAAATTCCGGAACCAGCTTTACAATCTTTAAAGAATGATGACTCGCCAAATGATTCCAGACATCAGCATAATAAAAACGTGATGAGTGGCACAATGGGAACGTCAACACTCACGACAGTTTCTGCCCATCAAAAATGCCGAGAAATGGTGTCTTGAAAGGATCAACATCCGGGATCTACATTCTAAGAAAAAGAAACAGGGATGAGCAGGGGTTACATTTCATTGATGACTAAACAACTTCTGCAGCAACAGCCCTAGTTGTTCTATTCTTCAAAGGAAAACATAATGTATATAGTTGAGAAAAAGCAAAGGCAATCAAAGGCATCACGAGGTCATCGCTCAATTGCTTCAAGCCTGTTCAGACTGAGCATCCTGACCAGCCGCCGATGGCAGTGGTGCTGCCCTTTTGAGTCTTTCAGCTGTTCGCATATGCTCAGCAGCTTCTGCCACATCTGGCGCGCAAAACACGTCAGTCAAAAACATGGAATGGGGCCCAGCAACAGATCTACTACAAGAAAGCAATGAACCCTCTAGCAGCAGCCAGGCACGGCATGAATACAAGTACCAGCAGGATCCCCAGCCGATAAAGTGACTAAGTCCCCCGCAAAAAAGACTCTGATTCTTGTAGTTTTCATTCAACACACCGGTGCCAACAGCCCGACCACACAAAGCCTCGGCATCTTCTGGAAGTTCATGCACAGCGCCCTCGAGAGTGGCCTTTGCATCCTGGTCTTCGCATGAGGGCTCCAATCGAAAAAGGGGAACATCCTAATCTCCTAAAAAACTGTTCTGTTCATGTTGGGTGGTCAAAGGGGGGTAAGACTTGCAGCCATTCTGCTGTTGAGCCCTGCCAAACATGATCTCCCCTTTGGCGAGTGCCTCGCCCCGGGGCGAGCAACACCGTTGCTTCCGAAAAAGTCGACATGTTTGATGCTTCTGCGGTACCAGGTGTTGTCCTCGTCAGTTACTTAAAAAACAGTGAGGTATCCTCCTAGTATCAGGAGCGCAGCACCATTCATGGGCAGACTCGTCAGGAAGTTTGTGTCCAACTCTTCTGGCCATCTGCAGAGCGGACAAGATGAAGGCCTTCTTTCTGAGTTCCCACGGAAAACCTGCACAGATTGGTGGACATGTACTACCTTGATTCCCACTATCCAAAAAGGAGGTGATTGATCGTTTGTAGCTGTCTCAGCCAAACCAGGGTAATCCTTTTGCCCAGATCCACCACTTTGATAATATACAATGATTACAATGATAATATACATGCATCCTCATGGCCCATAACTATAGTACCCTTCTGTGTCGCCCGGATCTTCTCAATGGGACCATCTTGCAAAGTTGGGCAGTCCTTCCATGCGCTGATTGCACATTGCACCGTGGCCATCTGGCGGAACAGTGGGTACACCATTCGGGAACAATGGCTAATTAGCTAAAACACACACTTTAAAGTCCATTTGATCGTTGGTCTCATTGGGGAACACTTCGTTGAAGGGAAGATTGGACACAACGTTGTCAGATCCATCCGATTCTTTGCCTGCAAATAGATACTGCGAGCATCCACTGTAGTGGGCCGACACCTTAATGTTCATCACAAGCCTCTTTCTTGCTGTATCCTCTTCATTCAGGTTTCCTTCAAGGACAAAGATCTACTTCGCAAAAACTGTTTACACATGTTCACACAGGGAAATTAGTTTAACTTCTGGCTACGAACCATTTGATTAGAGCGGCAAACAAATCTCAAATGACCAAAAACCTACTCTTCATAGACAAGTCATTGCATTCTTTTTCGATGCCCCAAACATTGTCGGAACAACACTGCTTCAGTCAGTATGGTCCAGGCAATCCAGGATGATCGTCGATTTGGTCTGCTCGGTCCACCCTGGCTGCACCCTGAGCTTCTTGCTTCAGGGCAGTGCGAAAGTAGTGCACCGCCTTGGTCGTGGAATGTCGATCTGAAGGATGCGGAGCATGAGATACAAACACGGTGGACATGAAAAGGAATCTCCGGAATCTCGTTGTTTCGTTTGGACAACGGTCAGTCTGAGCTTCTCCACTCGACAAAAATCACATCGAGCGAAGCTGACACTAGTCACTAGCCCCTTTTAAAGGGAAAACATCGACGGAACTCCTGTGCCACAAATGCTCAGTGACATCCTGGTGCCCCTGTGATCTTTGAAATGTGTCTTTTGGTACTTCATGCTTGGTCCCATCGCCTGGCTTGCACCGCCCGGCCCTCGATCTGCATGCAGCTGCGCGAGGCCTCATTCCAAAGATATGTGGCTCAAAGGGCCACGGACAGGGTAGGGTGCTTAAGTCGTGGCCCTGTGCGCTTGAAAGGCGACATGCGTTTTCGTGTGGGCCTGTCTGCGTGTTCGAAGAATTTGCGTCCTTAAAATCCTACGAGTACCCCCCAAAGGAAGTCTGCAACATGTCTAAACGACAGCCCACGCGCAATCCAAAGACATGAAGGGGTTTGCTGCGCTAAACACAACAACGGCACATACAAAATGATCTGTTGCAGCACATGTTTGTTGCGAAGTGCAAATATGCTTGAGTTTTCGCTTTGCAAACTGCGGAGAGTTCACAAGGTAATCACACATCAAATCATATCTGAACGGAGAATTTAGGCTCTTAAACTCTGTGACCCCAAGTCACTGTCCCAAAGGTTGTAGTAGAAGCTTAGGCCCACTTTTAGCTCCACTCCAAGCGTGAGCTCTGGTAGTGAAATGAACACAAAAGTAAACCACAAACGGCTGCAGTGCTATGTCATGTACATGTAACTGGTGCTACATCTGATCACGCCTCCCGAGTTTAACATCTCCCAGAAGTTAAGCGAGTCAGGATTAGCACTTCGGTGAATTAGCTCGTAGCCCTTCAGTACATCTTGGTCTTGAAGAAGTACCTACTCTAGCTCAAGCCGTTCACGCTTTCAAAGTCAGCTCATGCTCACCTTCCAAGTAGTGGAAGTTCATGCCTTTCATGGCTGTAGTCATTTTCTCTTCGGTGACAGCTTTCGTTAGCACATCGGCCAACATTCGGTCGGTGCCTTCTTTCTTGAGACGAAACTCTTTCTTTGCTGTGCGCTCTTGTACCCAATGGTATTGAGTGTCAACATGTTTAGCTCGTCCCAAACCTCGACGGTTTCCCATGGCGATGCCGGCGGAAGCGTCCATTGTCACCTCTTTGCTGGGAAACAATCCCCAGTCTCTTGCTGTTGATGCGATTCCAAGCATTTGACATGCTCCAGAAACAAGTCCGTAGTACTCGGATTCGCCACTGCTCAGGGAGACAACTCCTTGGCCTTTGCTGTATGTTGTAAGACAGCATTTGTTGGCCATGAGCACGCCTCCTGACACACTCTTTCGTGTCCTTATGCAACCTGCATGGTCGGCGTCTGACCACATGTTGAAGGGGTTGCAGGTGCTTTGGTTTGGAAACAACTGTGCAACTCTTGGTCGATACCTGACATATCGAGCCAATCGTTTCAGCATATTCCAGTGCCTCGATGTTGGGTTCTGTAGACCTTGTGCCAATGAGCGCGTTGCAGTTTGCAGATCAGGTCGATCCTGTGCCAAATACGCGGCTCTCATAGCAATAGATCTATACATCGTTGCATCTTCGGCACTCAGCGGAACTTCTTCATGTTGGAGTTCCTCTTGACTTGGCTTGGCCAAAGGTGTTTTGACCTTGCCTGGTTGACCAGTGCCTAACCACTTGATGATCAACTCTGCATGTCTTGGATCTGGTTCCCACCAAATGCCTTCATTTGACCAGGTGATGATGCGATTCAGCACTCTGATCTGTTGGCTTGCCTTTGGTGAACCTGGTGGACCGAGAATGCCTCGTTCCACAACTTGCCATTCTTTGGCTGCTGAAGTGTGAAACCATTTGATGTCATCAAAACTTCCAACTGTCGTGAAATCGTCTCCATGCACTTCTGTTCGAAGTTCTCTGGACGCATGGTAGTAGATGCATGGATTGGACTTGCCTTGAACAAATCCTAGCTTCTTCATAAACTCTGCAATGGTCAGCTCCCAATTCATGGGTGCGTCTCTGGTGCCGTAAAGGCTTCTGACCAATCTTCCTACCACATCTCCATCTTCTGGTTTCTTGCCTTCTGATGGAATTTCAACATAGAGTTCTCTTGTTACTTTGGAGTAGAAATGAGCTCTCTTCACATCCAAAAATCCTAAGAAAGATTGCTTTGCTTTTCTTCTTTCGCCTTTCTCCAATGGAAGGCTGTCGCTGACTGCAATGGTTAGCAGTAGCTTCAAAGCTGCAAGGCTCGGCATAGCTGCGAAAAATTCGTCAAAACCTGAGCCTCTTTTGATCTCTTGCGCTACCAATCGACTTCTGTAGAGAGGATTGGTTTCATCTTGCTTGTTCACATCTACCCATCGAGTTCCAATGATTTTGGTTCCTTTTGGAACTTTGCTTCTTGGGATCTTTTCCCAAACTCCCATTGATTCGACAATGTCGATTTCATCTTTTCTGGCTTTCTCTACCTTCTCAGGTAGCAGCTCTTTTCCACTGATGTCGTCATAGTACCACCAGTCTTTTGCCTCTTCTGCCATTTCTTCTGGCAGTGGGATCTTCTCTTCACACACTGGTTTCTCTGGGTCGATGCTAGATAGCACTCTCTCTCTGTCTTCTAGGATTAGGCTTTCTAAAGCCATCTCAATGCTCTGGATGTCTCTTGTTCTCTCGGCTTCATCTTCATGCTCGCCTTCTGCCTTTCTCTTCTTATCTCTATCTACTCTGGCTTTTGCTGTGGGTGATCCTGCTGGTTCATGTTGTTCTTCGTGTTCTCTCTTTTCTCCATGTGGTTCAGGTTCGCGTGGTCTGCGAATACCTGATGCTGAAGCTGATGCTGTGCCTGGTGTTGGTGGTGCTGCTTCTGGTTCGTACCAAAGTTCTGTCACAATGTCCATCTTGTGTGGTAATGCTCCATTGAGTATCTCTGGTGGAAGGTCTGTTGTCATGACTCCACTCTCAATGATTGCATTGTTTGCATGGTTTCTTGTGACTCGGTGCCAGACGGTGGACCAATCAGGTCCTCCTGGCATGGTGGTTTGAAAACAGTAAGCTTCGACGTCAAGTCGTGCGAACACTCGACACGAATCGGGAACTCCCGATGGTCTTTTGCTTTCATATCCATGAAGGATTTGAGGTCTCTTGCCACTGACGGGTTGTGGCATGCCAGTGATTGCCTCTCCAACTCGGCTTTCATGTCTTGCTACTCTTGGGTTCTCTTCTTCTTCTCCTCTGATGCTCTCTTCAAGTCTGTCTCGACACCTGTTGGTGTGATGGATGCCTGTAGATCTCTTGCCAATCTGTGTGGCATCACAAGCTGGGCAACCTGCAGTATACCCAAACTTTTCCAGGTCTTTCTTGGTGATGTAAAGCCTTCTCAGCTTTCGTTTCTTGTCATCTATTGCCGGTGGTTGCACCAAAGCTTCACCACTTGGGCTGGCAATGATTGGTTCCCTTGGGGCTGCAATTGCTGGTTCTTCGCGAATTGCTTGAGGATCCCAGGGAATTCCAGTGATCGATTTCAGCAACTCTGAATCATATCGATCTTCTTCTGGCTTTCCTTCGAATGGATTGCACTGTGAAAACACCTGTGGAATTTCCTACTATCTTCTCTGTGGTGGTGTCTTTCACTCCTAGAAAAATTCCTTTGGTCCATTGGGCCTCGAACTTGTGGCCTCTCTTGAGGTATTCGATGGCCTCACCAAATGGTGGAATTGCTACTTTCCATTCACGTCCACGAAGTCGTGAATACGGAGTCTTTCCGTCTTGAAGTTCGGTAGATCGGAAAAACAAGTTGTAGACAGTGGATGCGTGTTCAACTAACCAAGTCAAAACAGGGGAATCGTCAGGAAGTTTCTCACCATAGTTTGACTCGATCGCGGCTCGAAGAGTCCTGGCTTGTCCTTCCAAGGTTTGAACTGCTCGTTCAATCTCTCCCTTGGATTCTTTGACTCCTTTCGGGCTCTTCTCGATGATCAGGGTTCCTTCAAACCCATTCTTTACTGCCTCAACAACGGATGTGAGAGCAGGTTCAGGATCATGTCGAATGATCAGTTTGGAGTATCCTAGTTTCTTGATGTCGTTCAAAAGTACTTTGGATCCATATGGACCTTTTGTCACACCTTTGTAGGGCAACACATGAGCAAAAAGATGCTTTGTCCATCGATCTCTGACAACAAGAATTGGTGCATGGGTCTTCTCGTCCAAAACTACATCATCAGTTCGTGAATTCATGAAACAGTAGTCTACAGTCACTACTGGGGTTGTCTCATCGGTGCGGTCTATCTTCCTGTGGGGGTTTGCCTTGGCTTTTCCCCTTACACAGGCTTCACACCAAGACCTAAAAGGGAAGTGTGACACAACATGCTCTTCAAACTCTTTTCTCGTCGGGCGAGTGGGAGCATGGATTCGGAGCTCAGGCGGCACTTCGTCGCCTTGCTCGGCCTCTTCGGCCTGCTCCACCGGGCTTACCCATTGCGGTGCCGGACGAAAGGGTGGAATGCAAGCGGCACAGAACAGACGCCGTTGCTGAACGAGATCGGAATCTTAGTTCCGTCTCGGGAGATCTGTCCACCAGATCCGTGCATCCGAATGCACCAGCCCTTGCTCATAAGGGCCCCCGCGGAGAGCAGCGGTTTTGCAACCGCCATCACCCGGAAACAGCAGCGTCCCTTGAGGGAGTTCTGGCCGATGCCGATGGTCACCATGGCATCGATCTTGCCAAGGTCCTTGACCACTTCGCCTGAGGCAGTCTTGTAGACTTTGCAGGTGCCTTCAGGCTGGATAGGCTTGTAGCCCAATGCGGTGGCCAGTTCAACAGGGATGCAGGAGGTCGCGGCTCCTGAATCCAAGGTCACCTGATGAGCCATTGGCGTCTCCATGGATGCCAGCTCCAAACTCTTGAGAGCAAATAGATCCTCCTCGCTCTCATCTGGCTCACTCGAAGGTGTGGGATATCGTTTTCCCTTTCCCTTCTTGGCCTCACGGGCAGCATCCTGAGTGGCCACGTTGACGGCTCGAGTCAACTGCACTTTCTTCTGCTTGCCCTTTCCTTGGCCCTTCTCGGAGGCAGCCGGAGCCGAAGCGGCTCGGCTTTTGCCCGGGGATCGTGACCGGGACTTCAGCCGAAGCGTCTGCCTTGGCGCTTCGCTGGATTCCTCTGGCTTGGATCCTGGTCCACGGAATCGCTCCTGGTGCTCCTCAGTCGAGCTCTTGAACCAGGCCATGCGTTCCTCCTTGGTCTTGCCTTTCTTCTCAGGAGGTGGAGGTGTCTTGGCGACGCGCCTTTGCTTTGGCGTCTTTGGGCCAACCTCATCTTCCTCCTCCTGCTCTTCCATCATCTTCTGCATATGGGCAGTCATGTAGAAAGGTGGTCCTTTCTTGACGGTCTCAAGCTTTGGATCTTCCATCTTCAAATGCTTTGCCACATCTTCGGGCTTCAGATCCATGTCGGCATCTTTCACATGCTTCGGCGCATCTTTTGAAGTTGGGCTGCCTTGCTGTCCCTTGGCAGTCTTGATGCGCTTTCCCATCTCTTTCTGCTTGATCGTCCATTCCTTTGCCCACTGGTTGAGGACTTTTGGCGGGCAACAATTCAAAGCCATATGGTGGTTCCATAGGCCGGTGTCATTGTCACACCTCAGGGCCTTGTTGCACGCACGGCAGACCATGTTCTTGCTGCCATATCTGTTCTTGTGGGTGCATTTGGCTACCCATTCATCATAGCTGAGGATGCGCTCTTGGAACATGTGGTCGAGCCATGGCACGGTATCTTTCTCTTTTTCTTCTTCTTGTCCATCTGACTCCTCGTCAGCTGGCTCAGTGCCATTCTCATCCTCTTCAACTTCACCTTCAAACTCTTCTTCTTCTTCGAGTCCCTCGATCTCAGTCACATCAAGGGGATTGATGTTCTCCATAACTGGAGCTGCGAAGGATGGTGCGCTTGTTGCTCCTTCGCCTTGGCTTTCGACGCGCTTCATCACAACATAGTCCTCTGGGTTGAACCCAGCTGCAGTGAGCGCCTTGTCGATGACACTGCGGGCTGGATGGCTAGTAGCCGTCCATGTCTGGCTTTCCCGCTTCATCTCTGCCAACTCTTGAGTGGAGAGATCTTCGAACTTGGGTTCCTTCTCTTTTGGCTTTTCAGGCTTCTTTGCCTTTCCTGGCTTCTTGTAGCCACGATGCCTCTGGGCCTTTTCTCGACCTCGAGGCTGAGGGGCTTCATCAAACTTTCCTTCATCATCTTCATCATCCCAAGCTTGAAGTCGACCAGTACCCTTGGCACGAGCGATCTCATAGTAGTCGAGCTCCTCAGGGTAATTGGCCTCATAGTCGCGCCAGGATTCGAAACGATCCTGGGCCTTCTCAACGCGATGCTGCTCGGCGCGCTGACGGCTCTTCTCCTTCTTCTTGGCCAATCTTGGGTCCATGCCTGATGCCAAATCAGCTGAGAGCCTTGGCGACTCCGCCGGAACCGAAGCGGCGCGGCGAGGAGTTGGCCTCTTCAGCAAGATCTTGGCTTCTCTCTCCTTTTCTTCATACTGTTCTTTCAGCCTCTTCATCTCGGCCTGTTGTTCCAAGATGGCGTCATTGGCTGCTTTGCCTTTGGCTTTGGCCTCTTCGATGGCCTTCTGGATTGTCTCAGACTTCTTCTCATACAGCTCGCGATTGGACTGCATGGTCTCTTGGATTGCTTGGTTCATGACTGCAATCCCAGCAGCTGCAATTCCAGGACGACCTTTTCCAGCTCCTGGCTTCTTTGGCATAGCCTTGACTTCAGTCTCAGCTTTTGCCTTGGCTGCTCCACGAGAAATTGCGGCAGGTGCTGCTTTCTCCATCTCGATGGCAAAGAGGGTGGCGATGTCAGCGGAATACTCAGGCTCGGGTTGATGCTCTTGAGCCATAGAGGTTTCAGATTCCTCAACTGAAGCTACCTTCTTACTCTTACTCTTGCCTTTACCTTTAGAGTCTTTGCCTTTGCCACCTTTGCCTTTACCCTTGGAGTTTTGGTTGTACCAACTACTCTTGTTCCAATCATTCTTATACCAATCGTTCTTGTTCCATGAGTTGTTCCATGACGAGGGACTGGACCATGAAGAACCTTTTCCCTTCTGTTTACCTTTGTCGTTTCCCTTGCCTCCATCTTGACTCTTTCCTTTTCCTTTGCCGCCTTTTGAGCCACCTTTGCCTTTTCCTTTGGCTTTAGCCAGACTTGCAAGTGAAGCTTGCATCTGGCTGGCAGCTGCGGCTAGTGCGTCAACATCCATTGGTGCTGATCCAGTCTTTGCTTCTTTTCGGCTCTCGATGTTCTCGAGGTAGGCCAAAATCTCTGACTTCATGATGGCATAGTCAGTGAGTCTCGAACTCTGGAGATCAAGGTGATCTTGAAGTTTGGCTGGACACATCTGCTGAAGACAACTTCTTGCGATGTCATCATCAAGAGCTTTCTTCTTCCGCTCTTCATACTTTCGCCTGATGTTTTCCCAGGCTTCTATGCTCTCTCTGAGCTTGTCCAATGCACACTGTTGTGGGTGCAGGACCTTCTTCAGCAAAGCTGAGTTTGCTTGTGGGTTCTGTGGATCATACTTGGTGATCAATCGTCTCAATGCCTCTAGGCCAAAGTGCTGACCTCTGGAGGTATTCTTGACAATCTCGAGGGCTTCCCCCTCACATAGTGAGATCAGAGCCTGTCGGGCCTGAGCTGAAACAAGCTCGGCTCCTTCAGGATAATCATCTTCCAGAGATGTCTCATTGATCTCTGTGTCTTGATGCTCTTCGAGGAGCTGAATGCACTTTCCTGCATTCTTGTGACTTGTCTCAATCCAAGTCTTGAACTTGAAGTACCATGAATCCCAGGTACCTGTGTGTCCACTGAACTTGTCAGGCTTTGGAATGCCTTTCAACTCTGATCTGTCTCTTACTTCTACGCTAGTGGCTATGTTCCTTGTGATTGCCGTTTGTTGTGTATATGCTTCTGCCATTGCTCGTTGCAATTGGCTCTGCCCCTGTGCTAGGGCTTGCATCATCTGTGCAAATTGTTGTGCCATGTCTGTGGCTTGTGGTGCCTGTGCTCCTGGCTGTTGCGCCATGTTGACTTGCTAGCCAGGGATTGAAGCAATCCGGCTTTCCTGCAAGTGATGCTTGTTTTGTGGATCTCTGGTGCCAGAGCCGATGCGACTCGGCGACCTTCGATTCGCAGACGGTAGCCGGGTCTTAGAACCAGGCTCCGCTACCATGAACGGAGAATTTAGGCTCTTAAACTCTGTGACCCCAAGTCACTGTCCCAAAGGTTGTAGTAGAAGCTTAGGCCCACTTTTAGCTCCACTCCAAGCGTGAGCTCTGGTAGTGAAATGAACACAAAAGTAAACCACAAACGGCTGCAGTGAAACATACATCTATACAAGCTATGTCATGTACATGTAACTGGTGCTACATCTGATCAATATCAGCACCAATTATATTTAATATACGTATACATAAATATATATGTGTCCTCATCTTCGTGGTCCGTGAGAAATTCCAATGCAACAGAACATGTGAAGATGACGGAAGGCATGATTGCATGGCGATGATAATGGTATGAAAATCTCCGGCTGCAGGCAATGTTTGGTCCCAGAACCTTTCACCTTGTCGATGAGCCGTTGGTAGGTCATCCGATGACAATATTGTGAAACCGATTAAAGCCGATGATAATGTTAAAGAATAGAATACTTAAAAATCTCAAAAGTATTCAAATGTAAGGACTTATGAGGGCCATGAATCGAGAACCATGCCAAAGACTACCCGGAGAATAGGGAGAACGTTGATTGAACGCAACGCCTCCACAACATGTCCCCAGTTCCGATGTGCTTAATGATGAACCGATTGACTTGGCCGTATTCCGCTTCATGAGACTGCCCAGAGCTGCCAAGGCACTCAAGGTACATTCGTAGTCATCAGGTCGGGAGTCCAACACGCGCTTGTAGTACCGTATGGCCTCCTGCTGGAATCTTGTCGAAGAGTATGTTCACAGATGTCCAGCTGACACATCACTCAGCGTGATCAAACTTGTCAAATCTATTCTTCGGTCCTGTTCTCGTCCAGCTTTTTTGTAGGATTCAGCCTTTGTGAATCAAAAGGCAACTACACAGCAAGAGCAAGCACCTCTTGCAGCCTAAGCACACAGCATTCTTCCTGTTACTCTTCCTAAAGCTCAGCACTGGGCTAGGGCAATCATTGCAGGGACATCGAGAGCGCTGGGCTGGAGCACTGCAACCTCAACCGACTGATTTAGCTGGACGAGATGTGATGAGGTCCGTATACTCCGTCATCAGGTCATATCAGGTCCATCTGTATATCACATATCGGAAGACCATCCTGTCTCCTGGAACGGGCAAAGCCCCCCTCGAGTCCGAATAACGGTCTTCTGGACCAAATATAACACGGTACGGCAGTAGCGGTGGGTCAATCAATGCCTTCATCCAATGGGCGAATGAATGTGACATGTAAATCTGGCTAGACCGAACAGGTCAAGGTGTGGCCAGTCACATATAGGGGTGTCAAGATGTTTGATTCATGAAATTGAACTTCGCCGCTACAGGGTTTTGCTTAGCTAGACCTTAGTTGGTTTGCTTCGTTCAATCATACAGGCCTGTTCCAATGCTCGAACAGCTTCATCAGCCCTGGCAAAGCTGGAAAACAGGCCACTAGCCAACACAGGTCTCGAGATCCCCAATCAACTTGCAGTGCAAGCAATGACCCATGGAACATGCGTCTGGAGAAAAGAGATTGCTTTCTTCCAGCTGTGCGGTTTAAAGCTTCGGATAGTGGATCAGTGTAACTTGTCAAAGGGGCCACTGCGGAAAACTTCAAAAAGAATCCTATACTGACAAATGCCATCCTCTCTCTCTCTCTCTCTGTTGATCGACGCAAAAAAACATGTGCATCAATTTGTTGCAACACATGGTTAAGTTCCCTTGCCTTTCGGTTCCTTATCCCAAATCCTTAAATCATGGACATGTGGCAGTTCCCAAATAAAACAACAACTCTATCAATAGACATCAAACAATCCAGTGCGCTTATCTTGACTCAAGTTGCCACAGGTCTGCAAGTCTGCAAACGACGTCGGATGGTGGGGCCTTCCCAACTTTGAGCTTGCATGGCCCAAAGAGAGATGCGCTGCCGCATCGCGAGGGGCCACCTTCACAGCCTCTGACTCTATCCGCCGGCGTGATCGGTCGAATCGTCCAAAAAGTGGCCGCGGATCGCAGCAGCTCCGTTGGAGAAAGTCTTAGTCAACGAGCTCTGAATCAACTGAAGCGAAGAAGGTCAAAGCGAAGAGCTTTCGAGTGCTTTCGGTGTCAAACAAAATCCACACACCGCCTGCAGCGCTATGCGGTAGGCTTCCTGGGCATCATCCGCCTGAAGGAACATCTTGCTCCAATAGAGAAGCCATCGCTTGACCGCTTGCTTTCACAGAAACATCTCATCCAGGTTCAAGAGACACCCTGACCCTTCCGATTGAATCCATTTTCTGCTGCCTCCTGTGCAAACTCTGCCAGTCGAAGGTGAGCTTCAGCACTACTTGGGTGGCTGGACACCACCTGCACTGGGCAAAGGCACCCCTTTTGGCATCGCATGGTTTCACAATAAATCGACGAGTTGGTTGCATGATGTTGCATGCCGTATGCCCCTATCGGATCCTACGAGTATTCCACTCTCCAACTTTTTGCAAGCATGCATGTATAAAATAGTATATATTATGTAACGTACTGTATACAGTATTGTTATATATATATATATCATTGCCCATCTTTGATCTTGGCACTGATCTTGGCATATCATGGCAACCGCACAATTGTGTGGCTCGTCCGTGGGCTTAAGACCTCGTCCGACACCGCGACACCGACGTCCACGACCGGAAATCTAGCTCCGATGCCCTGCCTGCTCATAAAGCTTCCTTGCCTCAAGGTTTTGTGAGATGTTGTGAGTCACATCTTCAAACATGCCAATGTATGTCCTGCTGCGAACACACACAGGTCAATTGCCTCCTACAAGTATCACATCCAAACATATCCAAACTGATCAACTTTCATGATTCATGAGAGTTCAATCGAGTCTATCCTTCTATACTGTCATCATACTACTGTAATATATTATAATCTATGAATCTATGATATATAGTCATATTATATCACCCACAGCTGCGCCTGGGCTTTGCCTTCTTTCCGCTGTGACAACACGCGCGCAAGGCCCAGCATCGCCGTTTCATCACCAGCCTAGAGGGTTGACAGCGTTGGCAAGTGTCGTGCTTGGGCGGGATCAGGTCTCCTTGTCTCTGATGGCTCCAAGTTTGCATTCCTTCTTGAATTGTTGTGTCACAGTCAAACAGCGGAGCAGCGGTCATCCCATCTCTCGATCTATTGTCATCCCAATACTTTCACGAACTGAAAAGGCTCGAACAGCGGAGACAAAAGGGCTTCTCCCTGGCACCTTCGAGCTCAAGGCAGCAGAGAAGTGCTTCTCCGCAGTGGCAAAGTTGCGCTCACCCTGCGAGGAACTGATCACATTTCAGTGCAGTTGCTATGCGGTTACTGTGCAAAAACAGGGATGAATCGCTTGGCTATATCCCATTATCAGTAACAGTGGTTGACGATCGTTCTAGCAAAGGCCATTAAAGTGGCCTGTCGCAAAAATAGTGATAACATGCCAATGTTTCATCGACTGTTCCTGATAATGGGACACACCCTATGAATAGCATGTTCTTTCCCAGCTGTCGCGATTCCATCCGTGCCTCTGCTGCCTTTCCCAGGTATGCGTGCAATTCATAGCCCAGGGTAAAGCCAGAGGCCTCCCAGGAGAGAGGCATACTGGATGTCCAAGCTGGAGCAACCTATTCAACAAATTTCAACTACGTGTTCGTGTAATATCTTAGTCTTGGAGCCTCATCACCATATTCCATTGCTTGTCGAGCGTACCTCAAGAGTCAACATCATCGTCCAGCTGAGCCAAGCGTCCATCATTGTCCGAAAAAGTGATGCTGGAGCTTCCAAGTACATACTTCAAGTCCCCAAGTAACAAGCTACTAGGTGGAGGCCATTGCTATTCGGTTGGAGGCCATCACTACTAGTAGCTCCTGTTTCTTTTTTGGGTCATGACGAGTGCACTGGACTCTTCAGAATTCACATGAATTCGCACTTGCTCCAAGTGCATGTCGGGTCAGTGGGTCACTCTCGAATCTCACGGGCATCCCCATCTATGGACCTCAGCAGCCGCTCTTAGCATTCGCAATGCTTGGAGACATGCCACTCGACTCGACATGTTAACAAAATATCTGTTGGGGCGTGTTAGACTCTCGTACGTAATTCAATTCTAATTTAATCCTATATAATTCGACTCTAATTCAAACACTAATCCCTTTCATTTTAATAGTCATGTTAATAAAGGGTCATGTCATTTATCTTTTAAATACTTTCTTAGAATCTGGATACACTTTATTCAGGCGCGCCCTATTTTCCGGGAAAAAGAAACACCACCCCTGTTTATTAATCAGAGGTTTTGTGCCATGTATTGGCTCTTTCAGCACCCCCAAACAAAAGCCCTTGGATCTATCCTCTTTCAGGTGCCATAGCTTCCAATTTGGAGATTGGTAATATGGGCTGGTGCTCAACTGGAAGCATTCCGTGATTTGTGCACCCAGGTAGATGTGTGGAAGGCAACAGAGCGGAAGAAAGCATGCCTTTCCAAGGCTTCTGTATTTCACATGGATGGGTAGCGATGGGAAACTCTTCAACAACCTTCAGCCTGCTGAGCAGAGTCTTATCCATCTGCAGTGCAGCTAGCAATGAGTCACGTTTCGCTTTTAACCGCTGCAGCACCGCATTTACTAATGCTTGGCACGAAGCCGACTCGAATCCTTGCTCAAGCTCCTGCAACACTAGGTAGCAAAGTGTTCATTGGTACTTTCAAGAGAACCCCTGGATGAATCTAAGCAGACGAAAACCATGCTTGCTTGAAGCATCAGCGTTGACAAGCCCCCTGGGCTTCCCTGCAAAAGCGCGCGAGCTGCACATCGCAGTGCAACAGCCTCAGCGCACATGAAAGCACCAAAGCATTGTAATATGATGTTTGCCACTCTGACTCTGCTGGAAAGTAAACATGTCACATGACATGTGTGTGCGACTCATCTCCGTACTAATAGTGTCTATACTATCGAATACTATTTCTGGTCAGTACAGTACTCATTCCATGTCTAATGCCATTCTGCATGCATGCCATTCTGGCAACTTGAACGGGCAGTAAAGAAGACAAATTGTTCAAATCCAGGCACAAACATGCACAAACAAGGCCACAAAAAGAACAACTTGTCCCCGCTTCTTCCAGACTGAGAAAAGCCGTGCAATGAAAATTCGCTACTGAGGTTGCTTCCCGGAACAAAAAAGTCCACTCTCATTGAATATTATCATCCTTTGTCACTGTCTCTCCTTGATCCGGTGTCTACCGCTGGACATCTTGATGCCAGACATCTTCAGGCTTTCGTCGAAGAGTTGCTTTTGCACTGCTCAATACCTGGATTTGTATCTCTTCAAGCATTGGCAGTGTTGCAAAAAGAATGGAGAAATAGAATGACTGGGCATTAAATGAGGTGCAACAAATTGTTAAGGTGCTTCAGCAGCGCAAAACTTCAACCACTAGTTTGGTGTGTCATACCCAAAATGCTTTCTGGCTTGATTGAAGAGCACCTTTGCGATTGTAAACTCGAACCTGACAAAATGCCCGGCCTCTCGCCATTGCTCAAATGACCCAAGTCCACCTGACAGGCCTCGGTGCAAAGAATAACTCAACATGGCAAACATCATGGTACATCCACTGACTGCTGAAATTAGCATGTTCCGGCAAGCTGTAGGTACGAGAATTGTATTGTATGGAATTGTGGACGTTAATTAGATGATAGTAGCGATGCCAGGGGCCCCTAGTAGCGTCCTTGCTCCTAGTAGCGATGCCAGGAGCCCCTGGTAGCGTCCTTGCTCCTAGTAACGATGCCAGGAGCCCCTAGTAGCGTCCTTGCTCCTAGTAGGATAATTGAGCCCTGATATAGCGTGGGTTGACTCTGAAATGCAGATCCTTTGCAGTTGACTCTGATTGTTTGCACGGAGAACCTGTCCATGCCTCGACGCCAGAATCTCTGGGTCGGCCCGACCGGAGGCGCGTTCGGCACGGCGGAGAAGCCGCTCAAGGGCTTCACCTCACCGGGCGAAGGAAATCATTGGCTTTCGAACAGAAAGGGGATTCATGACATGTATATAGAGAGAGAGATATGATGCATTCCAGAAATAGGAACTAGGAACCCTAGGAACCCCCAACAAATCAGCTTTAGCCACTGTAAGTCTAAGACCTTTCTTTGCAAAGTTGGAGACAAACCGGCATGCGAGCCACCCCCCCACCACCGGGTTCGGAATGCATTTGTGGACTTGGAAACACAACACTGGCCCATAATATTAGGTTGCGGGGCCAAGCCCCCCAAAGTTCATCATTCACAGCCATCTTGCTGGTGCCCACCATCCTTCGCTTAACGATTACCATCTACCTGCAAAGTACTGTGAAACATTTGAGCTTGCTGTCCTACAGTCAGCCACCATGTCTGCGCAACTATGTAATCAACCCAGCTGGTTGCGCGCGCAAACACACACACAACACCACATGATGAAACAATTGTAACAGTAACAGCAGTAACCATGCAACACCAAGCAACTGGTAACCACACAGTTCAATGCAAAAAAGGCACCGAACACAAAAAAAGAGCCAAAAGCAGTGCCTGCATCTGTTCCATCCTCAGTCCTTCAACTTTGAAGTGGTGAGCTTACTTGTTGACAAAGCACCTCCTCTACCGTTCTACTGTTTTCCCATTCTGTTCAACTGGAATAAGATGGAATAAGTAGCACCATGTAGCACCTCAATCACCATCAATCTCTTGAGCCAGTGTCCTCAAGAACATCATCTTGGGCCCTAAACGCCAAGTCCAATTCTCTTTTCGCTGTCCAGGCCCTCGCCGCTCAACTCACGCAGAGTTGCCCCCAATCACTAAGCCCCCGAACTCGGGAAGCTGTGTCGTCTTGACACTGAAACTGCTGAAGACAGGATGGCAGAATGCCCGAGTATTTCATACAGGCACAGGGCAGCCATCTCATCATCTTCCCTACCAAATCCCAAGCTTGCTGATCAGTTTCACCATGTTCCACCACACAAGCAATCTTTATATATATATATATGCATATATATATATATGTAGAAAGGTTGCACCTGTGGGTTCATAGCATCTATCTTCACGGTCGGTGGGGTTAGGCCTTGGAGTCTCATTGTAGCATTGATCAGCAAAGGGGCAGTGCTCAATTGAAATGCTCAGTGCTGATTTCCCTCATGCGCCAAAGCATTTGTCAATCCCGGCAAAGTGATGTTCAGCTGGCTTGATGTGTGACAATGTGTGAGATGTTGCATGTTATGTCACTTTGATTCCTGTAAGAAGTTGGTCGCATATTTCATCAACATGTTGGGTAGGCTCCCAAGTGCGGCCCGAGGCCCGTCCCATTCAGCGAAAGGACGTGTTGCCGTAGGGGCCCCCGAAGTGGCAACCTAGGTCAGGTGACTTGGAAAAGAACTCCTAAGCCTAAGCCTCTTAAGCCCACTGGATATGGCTCCCTAAGTAAGAGGGGGTTACCCTGTTGAGCCAAAGGTCTCTAACGAAAGCTGTGAGGAAAGTGGAAGGCCCACTCGATCTCCAAAACTTGCTGCCAATTTGGCTCCGAGTGGATTTGGGAATATGAATGGACAGCTGGCCTGATGGATCCAGTATTATGAGATCTTATTGCAGCTACTCCTACTTGCCTGCAGATTCAAAGAATCTAACACCATTATGGCTTAATTCATCCTATTTAATATATGTATATAGAACGATCTTGACATATCTGAGCAAAATACACTACGTTTAATTCCCAACGCGACCCACGGAGCGAGACCGCCGAGTGACCACCGGCTCCACCGGGCGCAGGTGCTGAAGTGTCACTGAAGGCGGTCATCGAGAAGGGCGAAGCAGCAGGGGCGACACCTGCAGGACCTGACCGTGTGAATGAATCTCCATGCATGGACCTCATGGTGCTTGAAAATCAGTGTCGTCCGTGCATGTGAGGGTTTGGAACTCTAAACTCTTTGAACATTGAAAAGCGTATAGAATACGTTTCAACACTGTCTGTCAATGGCCTGAAGAATCACTCCACGGGCTGGGAAACGCAGTCGCACAGCAATAAGGTTATGATGATTAGCTTCTAAGCTCCAGATAGTTCACATGTCTCGCCTGGCACGCCACCATACCCACCCCCTTGCTGCTGCTGCGGCTGCATGGCATGCATGGTCTGCGGCTGCATAGCTGGCTGCTGCATAGCCTGCTGTTGCATGCCCTGCTGTGGGACGCCTATCTGGTGCATGCCTTGCTGAGGCATACCCTGTTGCTGCATGCCTTGCTGCGGCATTCCCTGGTGCGGTATCGCTTGCTGTGGCATCCCTGGCTGATGCATCCCTTGCTGCATTCCCTGCATTGGCATTCCTTGCTGAGCCTGTTGTGGCAACATCTGTTGCTGTTGCATTTCTTGTCGAGGCATCATCTGCTGTTGCATCATTTGCTGCGGCTGGGGCATCATCTGTGGCATGGTCTGCATATTCTGGTGCACAGATTGTGGAAGCAAAGATTGCCCTGCTTGAGGTGTGGCCTGGAACCTGAGGAAAACAGCAAAACAATCTGGGTGTGTGGACCCTCTCAACAGAAAAACACACCATTCTCCAGCCCCGGGCCTCATGTTGTTCGCCTGACAAAGGCTGCTCGGATCCCAGCCAGCGCTTTTGTGTTTTCAATGACATGTAAGGGTGTTATGATGTGGTCATCTCGAGTGGAGGTCTTGTCCAGAAGCAAATTCAGCAATTCGAACATCTAGTTGAGAGCTGCACATGGCTAGTGTTATCGCCTTGAAAACTCTTGAAAGTACACTGCGGACCGGATCTAGGGATCTCCTTCTGCAATAAACCAGCTATCTGCTTCACATTCTCGTTCGTTGCGTCGATTTCTGCGGTAGCGAGATCAATGAAAGTCCCCGTAGTGATAATCGCCACTATGTTCAAGTCTCCGTCCAGAGTGTCTGTCAATCGTGTCTGACTTGGCCTGATGTACTTCCATGCCGGCACGGCTCCCATGCCAACAGCAGCCACCACACTGGTCTTTATATGTCTTTATAACCACTGGCTAGTGTGGAACCGTGTGCAGTATTCTTTCATGATCCACTGGTTATTATGAGGATGAAGGCCATTGCTATTAGGTTGGAAGTCATCGCTATTAGGTTGGAGGCGATCGCTATGAGGTTGGAGGAACTCACTATCCGGTTGGAGGCCATCGCTATTAGGTTGGAGGCCATCGCTATTAAGTTGGAGGCCATCGCTACTAGGTTGGAGGCCATCGCTATTGGGTTGGAGGCCATGACTATACGGTTGGAGGCCATCGCTATACGGTTGGAGGCCATTGCTATTAGGGAAAGGCCCTACAAGCATGTTTCATTCTACAGTATTCATTCTATATAAAGTATCTTGACCAAGGCCAAAAAAATCAACCCGTCCACTGACCCTGCCTGTGGAGCTGAGCCAGGCTTCCCTGGAAAGGGCAAAATCAACGTGTCTGCAGTCTGCAGTGCAAAACAAACCAAACAAAAAACAATCTATATAAACCACGGGAACAGAAACAATCACCACATGTCCTGCACATCACGTCACCATTTTTACAGCATTATGGCTATATGATCCAACGCAGCTCCTGGTAGGAAGGACAGCTTGGGTATCTGTGAGATCAGCTTGGGTGATGCTTTGGTTTGCTAACAGATGCTAACAGTCAAACCTCTTCAAGTCATGTGCAGGTCCTACCCGAAAACAAGCTTGTTCTTGCCAGTTCTGCTGTTCTCCGTCCCGGTGCCTCCTGCAGCCTTCACCAATTTGTCTGTGAGGGCAAGGTGGACAGTCGCCACCTCACTACAGAGTTGCTGCTGCAGTCTCTCAATTTGATTGATTTTAACGTACTGGTTTACCAGAAAAAACAACTTGGATTCCCTGGGCCCTGCATGCTTGTTCGATGTGCTAGAATAATTACATAATTATATATATATAGATTAGATCTAGACCACCGTTGCCCGGCATCCTTCGTTGGTTCTGGAATCAAGCTGGCTTCCAAAAAACAATATGTCAAACATGTCTACTGTACTGTACATTGAGTCTACATTGTGGCGGCGTTGCTTTTTTTGCGGGGTGCACTGACATGAGGAGTGCCGAGGCACCACCGCGGCAAATCTTGGGGCTTTCTCAATGTCAAACACATTGCATCTAAGAACATGGCACAACTACAAGTAGACGAGAACACCAAGGGTAAACCCTGCATTTCAGGAACGTTATCCCCAACTGTAGCAGGCTACTAGTGCTTCATCCCTCAGAAACTCAAACCTCCTTCCTCACCCTCCACCGAAGGCCTCGCCTCGACCGTGTGATGCGAAATTTCGTTGATGCTCTCAATCTTCGACATGCGAGCAGCAGTGATTCGGTACTGGCAGTTTCGGACCATCTTTGGGCGGGTTTCGGGTTTCAGTCTGCAGCGTGTCTTTGCTCTAAGAACTGGAAACATGTTGTGAGTATCTAATGATTCCCGCAAGTCCTAATTCAACACAGGTTGCAACATGTTGCAAACCTCTAAATCGCCCATGCGACCTCCTGCTCCCAATGTCGAACGTGACCATGAACGCCTGGGAATGCTCAGGAAGGAATGCTCATCAACTCGTACTCGGTCTCTACATGTCTCAATGCACAAATTTCTGCAAAAAGACCTCACCTGTCATAACCTGTCCAGCGATTTTATGTGCAACTTCGCTGCGGATGTAGTCCCCAGCTTGAAATTCTGGACCACTGGACACCTGCATCGGTCTCATGGCCAAGTTTGTCAAGTGCTGCAGTGTTTCCTTTCTTGCGTTTCTCCTGAATCTCACCGTGTTACAACAGGTCATCAATGATGTTGGCTGTTGATTTACATATATACTGCTACTATAAATCTTAATATTTTATACGATACATCGGATTTTATGGAGATGAAATCAAAACCCGTGCTGCTAGGGGGTTATTGATCGACAATTAACCTTAAACATCCGGCATACGCGCATGCGCGCACCACAAGCGATAACGTGACACATCGGAGTGCTGCCCAGCTGCGGAGTCACTGGGTGCATACATCTGGCACTCCATGCGGCCTGTCCCGTCCTAGAAGTCATCTCCATGGGTTGCCCATGGCATTCTCTCATTCAGGTTATATAAGGTGATCAGATCCGTTCCAACGACTGAGAGCTGGTCGTTCAAGGAAACCATCATCCCCAGCTGCTGCATCTGCACCTTCTCCACCTCAAAATGATTTCGGACAAGTTCGGGCAAGTGCCAATGCGACAAACAGGAACAAGAAGCTACTAGTAACAAAGGGCATCGCTACGAACGGAGCAAGGACGCTACTAGGGGCGCTCCTGGCATTACTACTAGTAGCAAGAAGCTAGTAGGGGCTCCTGGCATCGCTATTAGGAGCAAGGACGCTACTAGGGGCTCCTGGCATTATTACTAGTAGCAAGGACGCTACTAGGGGCTCCTGGCATTATTACTAGTAGCAAGGACGCTACTAGGGGCTCCTGGCATCGCTACTAGTAGCAAGGATGCTACTAGGGGCTCCTGGCATCGCTACTAGTAGCAAGAAGCTAAGAACGGAGCTGAAGCTGAAGCGTCTCTGAGAAAGTAAACAAGTCGCTTCACTTCTCGGCACTCTGAGATCCCAGCACAAGCGACGAGAGTCAACATGTGCAGCTCCCTGCCATTCACACCTAAGGAGAACAGGGCGTAGGGTGAAAAATGACCTAAGCATCCAACTTGTCTACATCTTGCTTGGAGCTGGAATGTTCATGAACGTTGCAGGTTGGTGCATGTCTACAGCCCATGCAAAGCGGAAGAAATTGATTTCCTTGCTGCTGCCTTCAGAACTACCACCGCTGCCCTCGGCTCCGACTTGCACATTTGATCAGCTCTGCCACCCGACGGATTGCTTCATCAGGTCCAATGGTATTGCCACTCTGACGTTTGTCAGAGACCTCAAGCTTCTCCCAGTCAACATGGACATCGTGAAGTTACATCAGAATGGCTTGAAGGATTTGGTGCCAACGTGTGTCGCCCGCAAGCCCGGCAGGGCAGGAGCGAAAAAAAATGATAATATGGCAAAAACCTCTCACGTGTGACAACTTGAAGCTTTGAAGCGCACCAAGCTCTGTAGCCCTTTCTTCTTGGGCATGTCATTTTTTTCCAATAATTCTGACTCAAGTACCTAGCAATAACTTGACGTCCCGTCACGTCAGGCAAGCGGACTGAGTGCACTGCCCCATCTAGCAGCATTCGAATAGTCACTGGAGTCAAGGTATGTGCCTGCAGAGATCTGCGGGGTAGTACTGTGGGTGCTGAGCCACTCCCCATGTAAAAACCTGGTTCGGATTGGTGCACTAACCCCACATCCACACCAGCGAGAGACTGCGGAAACAAAGTGGAAGGAACCCAAAAGCGCAAGCCAAGAACTGGGACTCTGACCACTGCCTTCCCGCCGGAAACTCCACCTCCTGTCCATTGGGCCACGTCGAGAAACGTCCAAACCAAACTCACATGCAAAAGCTAGGATCTCGGCTAATCCCAAAACATAATGTATGAGAACTCAATTGAAAACTCTGAATGGCTGAGATATCTGTCAAATCGATTGGGGCATGTTCGATCTGGAAGAAGCTTTGCTATCCGAACAAACGATGATCAATGACTGTATCGTGTTGTCTTTTTCTGTGTTTTGTGCAGGTTTCTTTGCCTGAAGGTGCATCTTGCCCGGGGTGTGCCTTGGAGATGATGGGACCGCCGACGATTTCGGCGACTGGATTCCCGCACGATGGTCTTTACCACCGAACAAAACGAAGGATGTGCTTCTGCGAAAACCGAGGCACATCGTTCAAGAAGCCGGCAAGGCCCTTCAGGGAGGCACACTACAAAGAACTTACTGCTGTAGATGGCCGTCTCAGCTACTGCGATAACGGTGGCCGTCGTTCTTTACAGCAAAACGTTTTGCCAAAGTAAGAGCAGGATACATGTTTTTGCCAAAAGCAGGGAAGCCTCAAAGTACTGTCTCTGTCATTGGCTCAGTCTTTCATAGCTCTCAAACAGCATTTTGGAAGAGCATGTTCCTTGCAGAGTTTCGGCAAAGCTGCACCTGTGACGGAGCAGGATTTCCAGTTGCCTGAAGCTTGTGTAGAAAGTGGAAGGACGATGAGATAGATTAAATATGGGTCGCTGAAGTCATACAATAGTTTGGCCATGCATCACTCCAGCATCAGAAAAAAAAAAGAAAACATAGAATCGGCACAAACTCTTCGCCTTATCTTATGGATGTTGAGATGAATTCAAAGCAGGAATGGAACTTTCCACTAACATGTAGTAAGGTAACTGAGGAGCGTCTTCAATTCACGCGTCTTCATTTCAATCGCACATTGGGCTCAAAGACGCCCGACACTCTTCCCGACCGGCACCTCCAGCGGAAGATCACTGCCACCATAACCGCCTGACACCATGGCGCCAGTGGGATCATCTGCGGTCGAATGTGCCGGAAGTCGACGTTCGTCCAAGGGCAGTGATAGTCTCGGAGTGGAACCTTGGCGGCCTTAGCATTGTTCTCAACATTTCTCACCAGTCTCAGTGTTAGAAAATCCTCGTGCAAGCACGGACACCCTGAACCCTGCTACTTACAGTATATTCCACCCCCACAGAAGTCTGAGTCTGGATACATTCAATTTAAGCACATAAATCAAAACCTGCATGTCATGTATAACGAGCAGGGCTCTCAACCAATGTTCTGCCTTGTGCCCCACCAAAACCGCCAAAGCCGCCGCCGCCAAACATTCTCACCTGAAATCCGCCAGTGTCTCTTGTTGTCTGGCAAACGCAACCCGAAAGTGACATCTTGACCCATCCAAGCATCTCAACTACCAATCAACACTTGACGTTTAGCTTTCAGACTTGTTCACAACTTAGCTTCATAGTCAAAGGCCAAAGGGCAACGCCAAATGATGACACAAACACCAACTTCCAGGCCTAGAAGGGCACAGCTGGCCGCAAGTTTGATCTCTGATCTGGTGATCGCCAGTGTTGAATTATTGGATCTTGGTAAGTGTCTCTGTCTCCTTGGATATGGTTGTTCAGTTGTTCACTTCTCTTCCGTCTTGCCATTTGATCTGTGAAAGTACGTATCCCTCTTCTTTCTCCATGTCCGAGCCGGTGAAGCTTTCGAGCCGCCGGAGACCGAGCCAGCAGGAGAAACGTCCGAGAATCGTCTTCAACCTGTTCCCACTGGAAGAGACGAATGCAAATACCAATGAAGAATCCGGTTGACGCAAGAAGTCACCAAAACACGACAAGATGCTTTCTTCATGCGGATGTGTCTACACCTAGCACCCCAACACGGAAAGCAGCCAGCCCAGGCCAACCCACACAACCCATCAAGAGTCCTCCATCTCTCCTTGCCAGCAACCAGCCTGGCGATTCACTGATGCGCTCAATAAGAGTTGCAATCTTGCCCCAAATGGCTGGGTAATGTTTTCAACATCCATCGTAACACAATTACATGATGTTCAAACCTACCCATCCATTCTTCATACGTATCATTGGTTGTTGCTGGCTGCTTGAACTCAGCAGTCTCCTCAGGATGAGTGCTAAGTTTCACTAGGTCAAGTGTATTTAACTGAGGCTGAGATATTTCTCCAACAGAGCTGTGAACAAGAATGTATTGTTGGGCAACACTGCCAAAGCTTGCCGAACACGACTTGCCTCGCACTTTTTGCCTCGCACTCCAGATCGTCCCATACTCTGGAATCGTTGGTTTTGTTGCTTCGGTTGCGTCTCTTCGATGTGCATAATTATCCTGTTTCCTTTGGCACACGATCCAGATAAAACAATAGAGTCCTGCGTGTGACAGGCTTGCATACTGCCACCGCAGCAGAATTAGAGTCATTAGCCTGCCTGCAGAAGGCTTGCCATGAATCGACCCCGATTTCGTGGAACATGGCATCCTTCTTGCGCAAGTGGTGCAACTTGCGCACGTTGAGCACTATTTTGTGCTGTCCCTACATCTTCACAGCGAAGAGACAAAGAGACGAAGAAATCATGGATTCCATCCGACAAGTTCTTCCAATGCTTCTCTTTCCAGAACCAACTATGCCTGCCTTCTGTTGATGTGAAGACCAATATGGCACTCAGTGTGGCATACATTCCCTGCCACTCGATCAAACTGAGTGGTTTCCCTCGAGTGAAACAGCACGACGAGGCGCAACTCAAAGGCACCTTCGCCGTGGCGAAGCCATGGGTACAAATGTCTGGTAAAGACTAGTAAAGACACAAGACCATGTGATGAGTTGCCAGATTTCGAAGAAAAAGGGTTTCCAACTAGGAAGAGACTATGTTTGCCATGTGTTTGCATCACCAATCAACAAAATGACCACGAAGTCTTCCTTGCATTTCCTTACCAAAACGCAGAAGACTGAAAACCCTAAACCCTAAACAGAAGACTGATAAGCAACTTCCAGTCTGACAGGCAACACACACTGCCTGGGCTTTCAGTCACCACTCTTCGCGCGTGCTTCTCGCCTAAATATGATGCAATATGTAGGATCAAAAGCAAAGCAAACCAAGGCACAACATAAAGCAAAACAAGCAAGCCCCTACAAAACTATCATATGAATCACATGGCATTGCATAGCATCACAAAGCCACGTCAGAAAGTGTCACATTTCTTGTGCGCTTTCAGGGAAGATGCTGAAATGTACACTCTTGAATCTTCTTGAAAATCTTGCAAATTCTGCAAACGCCGCTCATGCAAAGGTCCAGACTTAACCCCGCGTTTGGACTCATCACACCACTCCTGTCAAGGGGTGCATCTTGAGCATGAGAGTTGATTGGTTGACCATGGTTGACAGGAAGTGCACAAGTCTTAAACATCCGAAATTCTGACATGTCTGACATGTGGAAAATCAAACAGTGAAGCATCGTTGGTTCCATCTTTGCTTCACCTCCCAGCTCTTTCCTGCGTGGCACAAGCCACGAAATCTCTTGCAAGCCTCCCAATCCACTCCCCTGGCAATGGCAATGTCGCCGTAAGGCTTCTCCTGAACCGAAATCCCAGCCAGTGGATCCCAGTTTTAGAATGTCCAAGGATGTGCAAGCCACCAAAAAATGACTCAGCTGCTCCATGAGAAAAAGGATCAGTGATTAAGCTGCTGGCCTGTTCCAAAGACACCACCCCACTCATGTGAAGTGAAAGCAAATCCACGAATCGGCAAGCCGCAGCCTCAATGCGTCCAATCCCCCCAATTTCCAGAGCGCAAGGGACACAGTGACTACAGCAGAACCCTACCCGTCAGTTTGGTGTGTTTCCACGTTTCTATGTCGGTGATGACACCGAACTGCAGGTTAACAAATTGAAAACATCTGAAAAAACTGATGGTTGTTTCTGAAGTGGAGTGGTTTAAAGCCTGTACCTAATTTGTTCTCAAACCCATATTGTCATACAGCCCTTTACGGCCTCTGCTGTGCAGGAAGAGCAAAGATCCAAGAAGGACAAAGTATTGTCCTGTTTGGATGCCAAATGTTGCCAGATCGGCGAAGGTGTGTTGATCTGAAATATTCTATGTAGCAACAAGTGCATCGCTAGTAGTAACAAGTGCCTTACTAGTAGTAACAAGAAGCTACTAGTAAGGCACTTGCTCCGTTCGTAGTATTGAATTCTTGTTTCTAATAGCTTCTTGCTCCTAGTATAGGGGTACCCATTTGTGGGGAAATGAAGTACTTTGCACCATTAGCAGGGGTGAAAGCATGCCCATCACAATCCACCAAAACACCACCAAAAAAACTATGACTCTGACCCAGTCTTATGACCCAGTCCAGCCCAAACCAAGGCTTGGTTTGTTTTTGTTTGGTTTGGTGGATCAGACCTCCGCTTCCTTCTACAAACAAGTAACAAAACAAACAGTGTCCCAAGTTTGATGCCTAAAACATAGTTTTTTTGTGGATCAATCATCTCTTCTTCCTGCCCTTTGCTCACACTCCTCTGTTCAAAAATGTACAAACTGGCGAGAATATGTTCGCGGATTTGGTTCTTCCCAGATCTGGTTCTGTACCAGGTTTCCTTGTCCAAAAGGATTGGTTGGAATTCGATGTATTTACATTTTCCTGGACAAAGTCAGTGTTTCGTCTATTCTGCATATATACCTCTTTCTAAGCAAACATACCTTCCTGCCTGTAAGTGCATTTTTGCAGTTTGATACACGATCTAAACGCTAAACGCATACAGTTACCTCGCAGTTGTTCTCATTCAAACGCCATTTGGTTGCACTTGGGTGCAGGTGTTTTTGCTTGAGACATCTTGAGGCATTCTAATTGAAAGCTGCGCCTTTTGTCAAAAACATCCGTATGAAATTGAAAACATTGAGAGAAGACTGAGAAGACATCTTTCGGGGGGCAAGCAAATATTTTGGAAATGAGTTCCGTTAGAGCTACAAATGGAAAAAAACTACTGTACAATTGTATTAAAGGTCTTAAACAAGTTTTCCCTTAAAGGGAGGAGGTGTCTTTCAGAAACAATGGGCTTCAAGGATGTGTGCATTGAATCCGTCTCCGCACCGAAATGGCGTTCACCAGGGTAACATTGGAGTAAAAAATGTAGTCCGGAAAATGTCAACAAACATGTGTCTACAACAAAAATGTTGCAAACATGAAGGCGTTACTACAAAAAAACAAGTTCCGTTTAATTCCGTTTAAAGAACATATTTGCAAAAATGAAGGCTTGGGACTGATGATAAAGCGAGTTTAAATCATGGCAGCAATGCAACACCATGATTTTGTGCTGGTGCTCATGTGGAAGACTTTGCATTTGCGGTCCATTCTAATCCAAGGGTGGTGGACGCGTGATGCGCCTCGTCCATTCAAGTAAAAGGTCCATGCCATTGCTTTGGTGGCACTTGAATATGAGACCATTTGTTTAGCAGGGAAACCTCTTGTCAGTCTTATGCACATGAAGCTATATTGTGAAATCTGCCTGAAAAGTGCGCAATTCAAGCCACCGAAAGGGTTCCACCTAAGTATTTGATTTCGTGGCATGCCAAGAAAAGGAATACCATGTGCAGATGTCGTGGCGCGGGAGGGGATTGGCGCCTCCCCCCAGCAGCCAACAAAACCAACCGCTGCAAAAGAATAACACTGCCAGGAAGTGCAAAAGAAAATGGTTTGAAGAAACAGTTTCTCGGTTAGCAAGGTGTGCTGTAGGGCTAGTTGGAAAAGAAGGCTCACCGGGTGAAAAGCGGGCTCATGAGTGCAAAGAAAAGGTCCTTGGGTTCAAAACGAAGCCCGAGGCTTGAGTAAAATTTGTTCCTAGAATTGACCCATGGGTTGTTCTTGAAGAGTGTTTTTAAGCAATACGCTTTTCAAGGATGGAGATGTTTCCGTGATTTGTTCATGTGTTTTCTGGAATTATTGTTTGCGTTTTTCTCTGGGAGTGCTTTACAAGCATCAGGACCAGCAGGAAGGTCAGGGGGCGAAGCAGCAGAGCCAGCGGGAGGGAGAGAGCGAGACAGTGACAAAGGGAGGGAGCAGAATAGGCATCCCACTTAACGAAGGAGAAGTGGTACTGTCAATGCAAAGAAGATAGTAGTTGTGGTACCTGTGGTAAGACTCGTAGTGGGGTGGTCGGGGTGATAAAGGCACTGGTGGTAGTAGGGGAAGTGGGAACTATTATAAAGTGGGAGGGTGTGCGGGGGAGGGCGCAGCCACGGCTAAGCAAAGGCGGGCCAAAACCCAAAAGCAAAAGCAAAAAGCAAAAGCAGAAGCAAAAGCAAAAGCAAAAAGAAAAAGCAGAAGCAAAAAGCAAAAGCAGAAGCAAAAGCAAACAGCAAAAGGAAAAGCAGAAGCAAAAGCAAAAAGCAGAAGCAGAAGCAAAAAGAAAAAGCAAAAGCAGAAGCAAAAAGCAAAAGCAAAAAGCAAAAGCAAACAGCAAAAGCAGAAGCAGAAGCAAAAAGCAAAAGCAGAAGCAAAAGCAGAAGCAAAAAGCAAAAGCAGAAGCAAAAGCAACAGGCAAAAGCAAAAGCTAAAAGCAAAAGCAAACAGAAGCAAAAGCAAAAGCAGAAGCAAAAAGCAAAAGCAGAAGCAAGAGCAGAAGCAAAAAGCAAAAGCAGAAGCAAAAGCAGAAGCAGAAGCAAAAGCAGAAGCAAAAGCAAAAAGCAAAAGCAGAAGCAAAAGCAGAAGCAAACAGCAAAAGCAAAAGCAGAAGCAAAAGCATAAGCAGAAAAAAAAAAGTAAAACGTGAAACAACTACCCGGACAAAAATCCGAAAAACAAAGAGAAATACCGGTTCCCTTTTTCAATCCAGGATCAAAAGGTCTGCCTGCCTGCCTACCTGCCTGCCTGCCTTCCTGCCTTCCTGCCTTCCTTCCTTCCTTCCTTCAGATTACAGTATGTCTGTTGTTGATCCTGATAACATTTTTTGTTGATCCTGACAATGATGTGTTTTGATACCCATGCCTGCCTGAATCCTAGGTACCACGGGGGGTAGCAGTATGCACATGTATCCTTCTCTCTTATACTCTCTGCCAAATAGTGCAGGACGTCTTCCTTCAACAGTGGCAGTGGTCACAAGTTGGAAATGTTCATTCTAGCTGCTAGGTGATGACCATTGGCCTAGATGACAACAAAACGGCTAATTACTGACTGAGCCTACTCACCTTCATTCCCTTGTCCTCCTCCAGTGAAGCCCGCAGCTCCCTACCCTGCACCAGGAGCGGAATGTCCATGATCACCAGATTCAGATGAGGCTGTGAGGTTAGTCCCGACTCAGTTGGGGAGATGTTGAAACCAGAAGACTGCGTAGCTGGCCTGCTTCGCAGAGACTTTGTTCAAATCAATTTCGATGGTCTCTTCTTGCTTCACCTAGACAAGATGCAGAAAGTCATTATATAGGCCGTGTGATGTCCAAGAGTTTCAAAAAGACTAGATGGAATAAGCACATGGAAACAAACATGTTCACTGCGACATCTGCGCCCAGACTGCGAACATGGAACCACACTGCCTGCGGAGGTGCCACTTTCACTGGAACCACACTGCCTGAACAATGACCGAAGAACACGTTGGAGCAGAAAAAGGAGATACTGAGATACTTCATGACTGAGTGGCCTTGGTTCTCTTGGGCTTGTCGTTTGGGAGGAGGCAAATCCACATGGACCTCGAAACAAGCGACAGATCAAGATCTCTCTTCATCAAATTCCGGAGCTTCTTGAGCCAAACAAAATATCAGCTCAGACTGCCGCCATGGAGGTTGCTTCCTTGGCTGGGCTTGCCTCAGGCTGCTCGGGTGCCTTGGTTGGCAAACATGCACTGCCAGGCTCTTGTGGATTTGACTTAGATTCTTCAGGGGTTCAGGGCCAGACCAGGTCATCAAGCGGAGGCACCTTGCTTGTCACTGCAATAGTGCTGTTTCTTGCTGTCTGTCGTTACAGCCCAGTGACCAACATGTGCGATGCAAGTGGCAAACATTCCGATTCTACCCCGATTGGGCTCCGAGGCGAGCGAGCCACATACGACAGCTACAGACCGTCTACATATCAAGGTCGGCAGATTTGCAGTTGGGATCTACATATTATATAAATATATTTTCTTTAAAGCCCGCTCCCCCTCCTCCCTACTTAATTAAGTTGGCGCCTACTTAATTGAGTAAGGAGAGGTAGCTAGTGGTAGATAGGTAGCTACTAGATGCTACTAGTATGGACGCAGGACAGCTCGCGCTAATGATTTGGTTCCTAGATTTTTTGGGAAACGTAGTGTGTGGCTAAAAATCGCGTATGAACTTTAGTCTTCTATACAAACCCCTTCGGTAGAGCCCTAGAATTGAGGCAAAAGCAGTGGCTTCGTCAGCGGGTCTTACTTCTGGCGGAAGTTCTGCCACCTCGGCTCAACTTCTCTATGACGGTACAAAGGTCAAGCATGGCTGTCATGGCAGCCATTACGGGGCCACGCCACGCAATCTGAAATTGATTGGGCACATATGATCAAATATTGGGTTAATGTTCATCAAAAATACGTCACAAGGAAGACCTATTCACTCTTCACGCCAGCAAACTTCCATTTCTGACAAGAGGATGGCCACCCTGCAAGAGAGCAACCAAAATAGAGGACCAGCATCAGAGAGTGGCAGAACCATTGACGAAACATGTTTGTAGCTCCGGGCATAATTTACCTCTCAAACCGTCGGTCGTGGAACTTTCTTGGGAACCCCTGCCGCCACTTCAGCGTCTGGCGCAATCGGAGCGTCTGCTACAATCGCTGACTCAGCATCCAAGACCTCTGCCTACACCAAGCGAAGTGCTGCCTTTTCAAACATGCAAAACCCTGATTGCATCCGCTGGGTCGTGAATCCTGTGGGTGCTGGTGCTGCTAGACTGGCTGTCAACTTGGTACATCAAGAGCGGCAATGTCTTAACATGTCTTAAGTCTTAACAATTCTTAACATCCTATGCCTAGAACAACTCTGTTTCTGCTTTGTCGGCTTGATGGAGATCTGCCTCGGATGGATGCTCATCTGGCGGAGCCACCGGTGCGTGTGCAGCCTCGGGCCAACCACATCTGGGACTCACACCACGCTGAAACCGCACCAATTTGCAAATTAAATTAATAGCTTCTTGTTACTACTAGTAAGGCACTTGTTACTACTAGCGTGGCACTTGTTTCTACTAGCTTCTTGTTACTACTAGTAAGGCACT